GTCGAGAAAGAGACAGACTGACAGACAGGCTGACAGACTGACTGACTGACAGTGAAAACGAAAGTTCAGTGAATAAGAGAAAGACAAAAGGCAGAATTTACTTCACAAAAAAAGCAAAGACCACCTGGGGATTATTGTTTTGTTGTTGTGTTGTTTAGTTGTAAGGCCTGGCGATCACGCCATTGTGACTGCGTGAATGACGGGACCTCCCCCTTCACCCCGGGCTGTGATCTGTGACAAGTCAAGCGTGACCTCTTGCTGATCGTCACCGTTTCCACAGTAATACAACTGATCGCTAAACTGATCCACGCGACTTGCGAACTGCGAACTGGCCTACACTTTTGCCTGGAGCAAGGGGTTTAAACTGCATAAGTACACCTTGGCCTGAAGATACGGGGTGGCTTGAAGTTGAAGGTTTGAAATTTGTATTTTTAAATCAAAATAAATTCACCTGTCTAGTTTTGAGGCAGTATTTAAAACTTTCCTTTTTCCTTTTGTGATGCAATATAATGCCACACCCCCTCTTTTTTCAGTACTGTTGTGAAGTCATTTTCTTCAACATTTACGCCCTCTTTCTTGTAAATTATTCAAGCGTTCAAGCTCAAGGCTTTTACTCCTTTCTCTTGCCTGTAACGCTGAACTGTTAGCCCCTAAATGACGTAAAGGTTCACGTTGTAAAAAAAACACTAGAAATGAGAGTGTTTGTCCGTGAGACAAGGGGGCAAATTTGGAGGTGGGAGAGAGAAATAAACAGAGACTGGGTTAGGGAAAGAGATAGATGTCCTGAGAAAGCAAGAAAAAGAGAAAAGGGGGTGGGAGGGGGAGATGGACGGAGAGAGAGAGGGAGAGAGAGAGAGAGAGAGAGAGAAAGAGAGAAACACAGAGAGAGAGAGAGAGAGAAAGAGAGAAACACAGAGAGAGAGAGAGAAACATACAGAGAGAGAGAGAAGTAAGAAAAAGTGGAGAGGCAGGAAAATTCCGAATAAGCTTCATATTAAAATCATATCAAATCACAAGAGAAAAGAGATATCTATTACAAGCCTAACAAGAAGCTACTGTTTATACCCCTTCTTATTTCTATGAGCTTGGCGTAAAATGTAGGCTAATCAACATTAGCATAAGTCTGGCCGTAGATCTAGATCTAAATCTGTCTTTCCAAGAACAAGGATAGATTTTTAAGTGAACAGAAGAGACTACGGCAGTTGGAAAAAAAGAAAATACGCTTCACTGTAGTACTTTACAGAAAGTAACTGCATTTTCATTGAAAAATACTTCGCAGAAAGTGTGCTGTAGCCTACTGTAAAAGAAAAAAAAAATACATCACAGAAAGTAGAACTGAATTATTGTCAAATTCAAAAAATTCGCAGAAAGTACGCTCCTTTGTCAGAAACTTCGCAGAAAACACAATCGCCCTGTTATTATATTGGACAATAGCCCCACGCTAACCGAAGGCCGTGGCGACTATTTTTGTTAGTAGTTAGCCTGCCCTAGGCCTACTGACTGACGATACAGTTGGCTGATTCCACACTCCCCTCCCACTGCACACCACGACATTTAGCCTACAATTAAGGGAGGGGGGGTGGGGAGGGGGTAACGGGTGGAAGGGAAGAAAAGCTTACCTTTTGACGTCAGGATAAAATAAAGAATTGAAGTGGAAGGCTTGAAACTTTTCTTTTTTTTTTTTTTTATAAATTCACCTGTCTAGTTTTGAGGCAGTATTGAAAACTCGTTTTTGCTTTCGTGTTTGATGCAATATAATGCCACACCCACTCTTTTTTTCAGTACTGTTGTGAAGTCCTTTTCTTCAACATTTACGCCTATTTTCTTTTTAATTATTCAAGGGTTTAAGCTCAAGGCTTTTACTCGTTTCTCTTAACTGTAACGCTGAACTGTTAGCCCTTAAATGACGTAAAGGTTTAAGTTGTAAAAAAAACACTAGAAATGAGAGTGTTTGTCCGTGAGACAAGGGGGCAAATTTGGAGGTGGGAGAGAAATAAACAGAGACTGAGTAGGGAAAGAGAAATAGATGTGGGAGAAAGCAAGAAAAAGAGAGAAAGGGGGTGGGGGGAGATGGATGGAGAGAGAGGGGGGAGAGAGAGAGAGAGAGAGAGAGAGAGAGAGAGAGAGAGAGAGAGAAAGAGAGAGAAACACACGTAGAGAAAGAGAGAGAGAGAGAGAGAGAGAGAGAGAGAGAGAGAAGTAAGAAAAGTGGAGAGGCAGGAAAATTCCGAATAAGCTTGATATTAAAATCATATCAAATCACAAGAAAAGAGATATCTATAACAATAACAAGCCTAACAAGCAGCTACTTTTCTATACTCCGTCTTAATTTCTATGAGCTTGGTGTAAAATGTAAGCTAATCAACGTGTAGCATGAATCTGGCCGTAAATCTATCTTGCTTAAATTCAAGAACAAGGATAGATTTTTAAATGAACAGAAGAGACTACACGCAGTTAGAAAAAAAGAAAATACGCTTCACTGAAGTACTTTACAGTAATTTACAGAGAGTAACTGCATTTTCACTGAAAAATACTTCGCAGAAAGTACTCTGTAGCCTACTGAAAAAGAAAAAAAAATACAGGGCAGAAAGTAGACCTGAATTATTGTCAAATTCAAAAAACTTCTCAGAAAGTACGCTGCCTTGTCAGAAACTTCACAGAAAACACAATCGCCCTGTTATTATATTGGACAATAGCCCCACGCTAACCGAAGGCCGTGGCGACTATTTTTGTTAGTAGTTAGCCTGCCCTA